GTGCAGTCCTCACACCCACATACAGGTGCAGTCCTCGCCACTCACCAAACAAACTTCTCTTCGCAAGAGATGGGGAGAACTACAGAAAATCACAGCCAATCCAAGTGGAGAGCTGGAGCCCAGCCAAGGGATACATCTGCAGTACACCTCCAAGATCTACAGCTACCAATTGGAGAAGACAGGGCACAAAGAGTTAGAAGAGCCAGGGAATCAGAGAATTTGTTGTGAGATTGTGTCTCTTAAGGATACTAGAAGCTACACTCCTAAAGTCTCACAACATGACTGCCCAAACATGACCTGCACAAGGATGACACCAACAGGCACACTAACACAGGTGAGGAAAGCAAGGTAGGGAGGGAAGGGCTCTGAAGAGACCTCGACTCTACACAGAGAACCATAGGCAACTCAGGAATGTTGAGAGTGGGAAAAATAGTCTTCCCCGGGGGAAACCACACCAATTATCCAATACCAAATGGTCAGTCATGAAAGTAAATACATACAAGTTAACATATATACATACAAATATATACATACATGCATACATATATGCAACCTGCTCAGCGTGTATGTGTATATACACACATGCATACATACATACACACATCCAGAAATACAGAGTGTACACACACACACACACACACACACACACACACACACACACACACAGTATGTAACTTAGAATGCCATCCACAGGGAATGCTCTTCCCTTAGCAGTTGTGTATCTCAGTACCCGTGACACTGACGGCAAACACATCCAGTCTTCCCCATCCCATTGAAGACATCAGAAGTACAAATGAGGCCACAGCTTCCTTACTTTTCCTCTCACTCACGCCATAGACAACGGTGTAACATTTACGACTGCTTATGCCTTTCTTTCATTTAGCTCCAGTAAACTAAAAAACTACAGATAGGTTAAGATTATGTAAAAGCGATGTTTCTCTATACCAACATCATTGCCATGGCTTATTTTGCATTTCCTTCTTATTGTGTTATGTGAATTGCACATTTACAATATCCAATCCAGGTTTGTATATTTATTTCTTCCAAAATAAAACAATAATTACCATTTTGATTAAACTTTATTATACCTTAACTTTTTCTGCTTGCACTGACTTACGGATTCGCTCTCTGAGGGGTTTAATTGATGTATTATCCACCTGTGTGGGAGACCTATATAAGAAAAAAAAGACACATATTAATAGAGCTTGAATGTTTCTGTCCTTTCAAAATTTTATTGATATCTGATTGCCAGTGAAGCAACATTAAGAGGAAAGGCCTTTAGAAGGTGTTCAGACTAATGTCCTTATAAAAGAGCCTGAGACCCTGTGTGGCCCCTGTTGTCCTTTCAAATTTTCTACCACAGTAAGAAGCATGAGCAGGAGCAATGCATGAGGAGCAGGCAGGCCTCTGCCTACAGACAGCAGTCAGTCTGCTGACACTGTGATCTTGGATGTTTAGGCTTCGGAACTGTAAGAAATGAATTTAATTATCAATCACCCAGTCTAAGATATCTTTTGGTAGTAACTAAAATGAACTATGACACTCATAAACCAGAGTAGCTTTTAAACTAGTGTTCTCCTTACTCCCATAAACGTTTACAAGGGGGAAATAAGCAAGTTATAATTATGATAAAGATTCCAGAAGACAATTACAGTCAGAGGAGTAAACTCAACGACGTAGGACAAACACTTGGTAGGAAAGGGACAACAGGGCGACCATTATGTATGCACACTACAGAGAGGCCATGCAGGGAAAACAACACTGTCATCTTCTAATGAGGCAGTTCTTAACAGAACCCACCTACGCCGTATCTGTCGCTCCTTACCTCATACGAGGTTTCTGTTGGTTAACAGCAACCGTAGCAGCCTATGGGATTTATTACAGCTGCTGCAGCAAGAGCAGGGCAGTACCAAGGTCTGTCTAGAACACCAACATTCACCTCGCAAACCCTTTCCTTCGTAATGCACAGGGAGCCAACAGATGCTGATTCTGCTATGAATACGGTGTGCACGTCCATCCTATTCTTATGCAGAACAGTGGTCCACAAAGAACGACTGCAAGGCTGGGAGAGGAAACCTTAGCTACTTGTTAACTGAGCTCTCTCAGGAATATCATGACATCTCTCTCAAGTCTCATTTCTCCACGTAGACAGTGGGGACACTATTAAAGGAACCGCTTGAAGGGTTGCGGTTTAACAAGGTTCTCGACACACACCAAAACAAATATTTTTACAGCAAAACACTTAGAATCCAAATCACCTGCCACACTCTTAAATGCTATATTATAAATATAACTGTGCTACAGTGAAATGTCCAATCTTCCTTTAATTTTTGTTGGCTTTTTCCATATTATCCAACTGCTTCCAAGTTTCCTATCATAGGTATAAATTCCTGATAATCAACAAGGTATGTGTGCATACATACACATACATACACATGTACAACTTCCACATTACACACCTGAAGAGCGTGACAAAAGAAGGTCCGCTGTGTGGCACTACACTCTCATCGTTATATAAAAGTTCTGCTCTGTTTCTGGTGGGAGCACTGGCCGCGTCTTCATCCAAAAGAACCAGCAAAATTTTCACAGCGTCTCTGCCACAGTATGCAGTGTCATGGTTTATGGCAAAAGATTTTGGCTGGAACAAAAATTAATTTTAAATTATACACAATAATCACCTCATCTAGGTGAATCAGTCACGAATTTCAATTTCAAATGTCATTTTTCTTTCTTTATTGCTGAAATCACAGAAAATAAGCTATAGATATAAGCTATCTAGACATTTCTCCTTTAAACCACACTAAAATCAATTTCACAAACTTTTAGACATAAAAGAATATCATCAAAGGACGACATTTGTTTCTGATGTGAATAACATTAGGCTTATAAGATAGAAAAATCGAATCGCTGTCTAGTTAGCCTCAACCCCATGACTTTATCTCTTAACCTCTGTGTGCTTTTCCTCTTGTACAAAAGAGGCAGGGCTCTGGCAATCCAAAGCAAACCTCCATGTGCTTAGGGTCTGATCAAGAGCCAGATGTGGTGCATGCCTATAACCCCAGCACAGGAGGGGGGGTGAAGGGTGGAGCCAAGAGCATGAGTGTGAGACTAGTTTCAGTTACATGAGTTTAAGATCAGCCTGGGTTATAATTAGACCCTGTCTCAAAAATGCAAAACAAAAGGCTTAATCAAATGAAAATTCATGATTACCCTATGCTCTAAGAATTATTTTAAGAAACTAAGGCTTCCAAGGTGAAAAGCACTACCTTCAGAGAAATCACGGCCTCTTGATAAGACAAGTCAGCAAAAAGTTACGTTACAGAGTGCAGTGATATTTCTAGTACACACACGCACAGTGTGGTGGAAACACCCAACTCATCATGGTGAGAATACTGTGGAGAGAATGGAGCTAAGAGGAGTCACAGAGAGGAAGGAACTGCAGAGATCAGGCGCTAGGACAGCTCACAGACAGGAAGGAGCTGGAGACCAGGGGCTAGGACAGATCCAGGCACCTCGGTCAGAAAGAATAGTTCATGGGAGTGTGAAGAAACTATGCGTCCATGCACGTAAGTCACAGGGCAATTTGCTTTATTAAGCAAGTAAATAAAATAATCTTATTTAGACTTTGGAAAAATCAACAACAGCAATGTGTAAAATATATTTTAGGGTAAAATTTGTCAAATATGGACACGGCTACAGCAAATTAAAAGATTACAATAAGTTAGTTTTGAAATGAAACGGTCTGAACTAAACAGTGCTGAAGCAGATTAAAAAGGGAGAGCCGGGAAAGGAGTAATTAGAGAATAAAGAAGGTGGTGGCAACGCATGGGGCCGTGTCACATACAGAGACGTATGAGCATAAACTCCTGGGGATTCTTGTTGGGCTAAAATACCCTACTATATGTAGTACGGGACTCTGAGAAATACTCAGCTTCCCTACACCCAAGATGCACTCACTTGCCAAAGAGCAATGGCAGAGCCTTGTCCACTGGGGTGAGGGACCCTGTGCCTGAACATCAGAGCTGCTCTTTCAGGGCCTTCGGTGGCACTTGTGCCAGTCACCTCAGCACTGACCAACACGGCTTTGGCCTCCCTCCCTCTCTGTCAGCTGAGGCTACCAGACGAACTGTAACACGCAGCTGTATTCAAACTAAAACCAAGAGCTCACCGTGACCTAGCACTTACCACATGGTTTACTTCGGTATCAGAGAGGGCCACACGGCTAATAGTACCTTCGCTGAGTGTTATTTGATGATGTTTTCAAAATTCGTGATTTAGTGGAAAACATAAGACTAAGAACAGGTGGTTTGCGTCAGGATTTTGTCTGCCTACAGATGAGAAACTGGCACTCTGATAGATCTCAGATGGCAGTGGTTCCTGGCTTACACTTGCAGTGATAACTCCCTTGTGTTTTGTGCCAAGCTAGTTACTCAAAATGTTGGCATGCACATGAAATAATTGGGGTAGCATCCCAGAATCTTCCCCATGATGCCTTTGAAGTAAATCTAAGAACATGCATTTCTGTGGTATAGATAAAAATGATCACCAAGGCCCGTGGATGAAAGAATGAATAAATAGCAAAAGCAAAGAATTTCTTCATGCACGGCCTGCCACAGTGACACCTAATGAAAAGGGCCTTTTGTTAACCAAATCAATACCACAATATAGACAGGCACCATGATTCACACTGTAATTCCAGCATTCAGAATGCTATGATAGGAGTTTGAGACCAGTCTGGGCTACATAGTGACTTCCAAACTAACCTGGATGACACAGAAAGGCTTCATCTCAAATAAAAACAAAAGAAAGAGAAAAAAGAAAAAGATAGACCCACCATAATAATCTAAAACTCCATTCTGCATTTAAAACCATAGCAGTTCGTTTCTGGAGTAATGATCTATTAAAACTGACTATGCAAGAAAGCCAAGGAAGAAGGATACATTGTATAATTAAAAGATTCCCAAGTATATGGAAGGTTGAATTGTAATCAACTGAAAATGTAGTTAATAATAATAATTATATAGCTCTATTTATGAAAACTAAACTTCTGAAGAACAAACCTGTTCTAATAGGACCGCTGCTGTCCTGCAGAGATGTGAGCATTGCAGTCAAAATCAGACTACATTTACATCAAAGTAAATAGAAAAATAATAAAAATTATTATTGAAAAGTAGCCCTAAGCACCTTAAGTACCCAGTGCTGAAAGATATACTGGGGATTATCCAACACCTTATTTCAACAAACACCTTGGCCCCAAAGATGTTATGATTTACCTAAGTTGAACATAATCCTATTGAGAAAATCAGATTTGATGGCATCATCTTAAAACATGGAAAAGGCATTCTTCTGACTTGAGTAGCAGCAGCAAACAATTTCCACAAAGAATAGACGAGATTATGCTTTATACAGAAGGACAATGAAGAATAAATCCGTTACCGCTGCAGGACTGACGCCGGTGGTGCTGACGGCTACGCCTTCTTGAGAACTGATAATATTCTTAATCCTCAGATCCAAATCCCGAACAACTTCCTCTACAGCCTTGTAAAAAGGATCTCCACTGTTGTGGCCTTTGATCAGCTGCATCTTTAGCACCGATAATATCCGGCCCCCTGCCAGGCTGAGAATAGAAATAAGAGTGTGCTTCTGATAGTTTTGTAAATGACAGTAAGCTTATAAGCTTGAAAAATTATTTTTCAGTGTTAGCACCTTTCAAAGAATATAACTCTGACCTTACAGATCAAATAGCAAAGCACTTCAGAGAAAGATAAAAACCATGAGCAACAAAATAAAGTCTTTCATAAACCCAGCATGTCACAAGTTACATCTTCCCTGATTTGAAAGCTAAGGAAAAAATATTTTAGTTATGTATGAAATTGATGCAGATCAGATGAACTTCTATTTATCTGATATATGTAAACTATATACTTTTATACACTACTAAGACAAGAAAAACAGTCACCTCTCAATGAATGTCTAGAATGTTACCTTAATCTTAAAACCAACTCAATAAGCTGCCATTGAACTCATTTTCAAGAGATGAAATACCTTGTCCTAGATCACATGGTGTCCCAGGATGGGAAGAGGAAAGAAGCCAGATCTGAAAGAAATACTAACCCTACCATGCAAGAAGCAGTAGTATATACAGAAGAGAAAATTAAGTTAGCAATGATCAGAGCAAACCAAAACTAGACTTAGGGCCAATAGACAAATTGTTTTTTTCAAAACCTGACGTCAATGTTTCCTTACGAGCCTGAACCTGGGTTGCAGCTGCTGCTCCCTGGGATTGGCACAGGCCCAGTGTGAGAAGCACAGCAGGGTGGTCTGCTCTGAAGAAGTCAGTGTTGCCCAATGGTGCATGAGGCCTCTCTGTTGAAGTCATGAGGTATCCCGGGAAAGGGTGTGCCCAGGAAGACGTATCTGGTTTACCGTGGAGTCATGGCAAGTCTGCCTCCCTTTACCTTGGGGATGCTACTACACTTCTCTTCTGTAGTAGCATAAAGGAAAACTATGAACTTAAGTTTCTGTCCTCAATACCTTATCACCAGGTTACAAATCTTAGTCAGGTATTCTAACAAGTATGTGAAAATGTGATTGATTGGGTAAATATTCGGTGCAAATAGAAAAGGAAAGTCAGGGGGCAGTCAGAGGACGGAAAGTCCAGCCGTAACTCCCTAGTGCTGTCTCTCCCACATTTCCTATCGTAGGAATCATATCCCGTCTGGCCCTAGCTCCTGATCCTGCTTTTAATTGTGTACTGAAATACTTTCTCCGAGAAGGGTACAATAGAGCTGCATTTGTACCACAGGGGACTTTGAATGCAGAGCAAGGTGGGAAGCATCTCAGGCACAAATCAGCTCTGAGAGGGGAATTACACTTACCACTCTTCAATATCAGTCTCCAGGAACACACAGAGGAGAGAACCAATGTTGATGAACAAATATGCCCTGTTCTAGCTGAAGACTCCAAGAGCAAAGCACTCTGGGTATTTCCTACTGCAGAATAGGCCTTTATATTTATCACCTCCTAAAAGCTTCACATTTATTTGGTTTCTAACTGTGCCCGTGCCTTCAGCACTTTCACCAGAGTTGGCTGGTCCTTAATAAGGAAGCACGCTGCACACACGGAACCATAGGCCTATGCTGTGCTTTTCTTGCAGGGGTGGGAACCTTCGGCTCTGGCACTTTGTTGAGGACTTTAGGTCTCACAGGAGTAACCCCTTGAAGTGTGTATGATATAAAGATAAAAATTCTGTTACCAAGTTTGGCACATCCTAGTTTCGTAAGAAAGTCTATGATAGACTGTTAAATGCTGTATATTGTGCATTGCTGTGGGAGTTCCTTCAGCTCCTTCAGCCAATCGCTGCTGAGTTACCAGCCCATTGGGGCGTGGTCTCTCTCCCTTTAAAAAAAGCAGCGGCTGTCCTCCACTCTGTCTTTGTCTTCCGGCTCCGTTTCCGGCCCCTGGACTCCTTTCCTGTTCGCGTGGAGGGGCTGTTGTCTGGGACGGTAATCTGTAAGTTTTTTCCCCTTTGAATAAATAACCATTCTATTAATCATAATTCCAAACTGGTGTGGGATTGTCTGTGACTTACGCCTTCATCTGGCGCCCCACGTTTGGTTGTAGAACCCCCCCCTTCCCCCCCATTCAACTGCTTGCTACCAGCTCGGCTAGTCACGAGACCTCCCTCAGCTGTGGCCTGTGCCCTGTATGTGGAGCCAGCAGTTCAATTAAACCCCACGCCTCCCAAGCTCCACAGGCTCGGGACAGTCTCTGCAAGCCTGGTTTGCTCTTTTCTGAGTTGTTTTTAAATTTCCCTTGTAAGTGCGGTGCTTTAGTGGCGTGAATCAGAACGACTCGGTCACGTGGAGGCATACGCGGCTTCCGCGTTGCTCTTTTCTACCCCTGGATTCTGGGTTTCTGGTTCCGTGCATGGAATTGATTTAATTAAACTTTCTTTCTTGAGCAACTTATATTTCCTAGTTTTTAACAAATACTAAGGCAGACACTGAAACAGGACCTGTTTAAGTCACCTTTGCAGTGGTTCTAGTCGCAACTTGGCAACAGCGCCGCCAACTAGACAAGAGGTAATATGGCAGTTTTTGTTTCCAACGCCAATTTTACTGTTTTCTTTATTAATACAATGGATTATGTCATGCAAGGTTTATATGACTATGGGAATATAGAATATATTAATTTACTTGTTACTAGGTTTCAGTTTTCTTTTCAATATTTTATCATTAAGAAAGATACGATTTTTACGGACTAATATTGAACAACTAGTTGAAAGGATTAAAATTATTGAAAATCAGGGGTTATCTGAACAAGTGGATACTATGATAGACAAAATTGACTCCATGTCCAAGGGTACTAGGAAGTTACCTGAAAGGGTACAGGCTGTTGAATTTGACGTTCAGATGTTACCACAAAGTTTTGATAAGGTAACAGATAGAATGAACCTCCAGAATGGGAACCAAAAAACTGATACCTTAGTGAAATTACTAGAAACACGGGTAGGTCAGGAGATTCAGGATTTAAGGGATACAATGATAAAAAGATTAGAAATGATTGAAGAAACTATTGGAGCTGGTGAACAGAGTAAGAAGGCACAAGGACAGGATACAATGCCACCACCAGCTGTTAGAACTGGCTTACCCAGGGTCCTAACAACATACCCTGTAATTTATTCTGACAAAGGGTTAACTTCCAAAGGCTCAAAGGGAGTTAAAGAAGCTAGATGGACACCAATAGCAATGAATGATTTAAAAGAAATTAAGCAAGCTGTCGTTAATTTTGGCTTGCACTCTGCATTTGTTAAGGAAATGATAAGGACTTGGGCTTCTAATGTCAGAGCTACCCCCCATGATTTCTCTCAGCTAGTGTCTGCAGTTTTAGATGATGGGCCTTCCTTGATGTTTGGAATTTATTTCAGAGAAGAATCCAAACATATGGAACAGCAAGGAAGAGCAAAAGGTGTGGAGGTTTCCCAAGATCAAATTCTTGGTGTAGGAGCATATGCTGATCCACAGGTCCAAGCTCTTTATGATGAAGAAGTGCTGTCCTTATGTCACAAAGCAGCCTTGAATGCTTTGAATAGAATACAAGATCCAGCAAAAAGGGTCGAATCATATACCAGGGTTAGGCAGGGACAGAGAGAACCCTTTACTGACTTTGTGCAAAGATTAATTAAGGCTCTGGACATAGGGGTAACAGACCCAGAAGCTAGACGAATACTTCTTGAATCTCTAGCTTTTGAAAATGCAAATACTGAATGTAAAAAGATAATTGGGCCTTTAAGATCTAGATCAGCACCAATGGAAGAATGGATACAGCATACAATGAATGTTGAGATGTTTAGCTATAATGATGAATCCTGGGTAGGAGAAGCGATTTCCAAAGCTATGAGGAGACATCAAACTACCAGGTGTTTTAATTGTGGTAAATTAGGACATCTGAAAAGGGATTGCAGGCAAAGAAATCCTAGGAATAATATCTCCTCTGGGAATGACAAAAGTAGGAGATCTCAGCCTTCAGGTATATGCAGGAGATGCGGTAAAGGCCGACATTGGTCCAACGAATGCAGGTCAACAACAGACAGACAAGGCAAACCGATACCATCGGGAAACTCCTTGAGGGGCCTCTCGCAGGCCCCCAAGCCAAAAGTGGCCCAGTCATTCCCAGTTACAGTCGAAAATGTGTCTCACCAAGAAAATTAAAAACTCCAATGTCTGCCGTAAAAAGTAATACTGGTCTAAATGATGAATTACATGTGGAGAATGAGTCAAAAAATTCAGGAGGACAGAGTAAACGTATATTTTGGCAAACGTATATTAACGATCAAAGACCAAAGCTAAGAGTCTGTATAAATGGCATTTTTATTGAAGGCTTATTAGACACAGGTGCGGATGTAAGTATAATTACTCCAGAATCCTGGCATCCGAATTGGCCTCTTCATGAGGTAGATGTTCAGTTCCTGGGAATTGGAACCCTATCTCGTGTAAAACAAAGCACAAGATGGGTGGAATGCATAGGGCCTGAAGGGCAAATAGGAAGATTAAGGCCATATATAGCAAATATTGCAATAAATTTATGGGGCCGTGACCTGCTACAGCAATGGAATACCCAGATTAACATTCCTGTAGTTCCAGGAACTCACAATTCTGGGAAGGATATAATGAGGTATTATGGAAAAAGGTCACCAGCCATTCAGGCTGTACAAGAACACACAGCCAATAGCAAACCTTTAGAGGTACCAACAGCCCTACCTTTAAAATGGCTAACTGAGAAGCCAATATGGATCAGGCAGTGGCCTCTAGCTGAAGATAAGTTACAGGCTTTGGAACAGCTGGTACAAGAGCAACTAGATGCTAACCATATTGAAGAATCAACCAGCCCTTGGAATTCTCCTGTGTTTGTTGTAAAAAAGAAATCTGGTAAATGGAGAATGGTGACAGATCTAAGAGCTGTCAACAAGGTAATTCAGCCTATGGGTCCGCTACAATCTGGAATTCCTTTGCCTTCTCTATTACCGAGAGGATGGCCTATTATAGTTATTGATTTGAAAGATTGTTTTTTCACTATACCTTTGCAAAAAATGGATAGAGAAAAATTTGCCTTCAC